AGTCATGGGAGTGGGTGGGGCGGTTATGATGGTGAGCGGACTGCCAACTATTGTCAAGCGGAAACAAAGAATGGCTCGGAGAATCGCTTTACTATTGTAACCTCGTTGGCTACTCTCGCTACCCACTCATAGTTTAAGAAGTGCGGAGCTCAAATCAATGATCACAGGACTTTATTGCAGAGGAGGTCATGCTCTCATTGGGTGCCATGGCAACGCCCTGCATGAACAAACTGTTGGAAATGGGTTGAGCAAGGTGGGTAGGCGCGCTGTTGGTCTCAGTGCCACTTCAAAAGCATTCGGTGAATCGGCAAACAAACCGTTGCCAAAGTGTCGCAAATCACAAATCCAGTAGAACACTTCTCACGCCTTCTCCTGTTTAGACTAAGTGGACGAGGTGGGTGACGATTCGAATGCGCCACCCTCCACAACCACTTGCAGCACAAATTCGCAGTCACAAGGTGGATACTCGGAAACCAGTGAATGCATTTTTGAAAGAACCAGCATCCTATCTTGCCATGGGTGCGAAGTTGGCACTAGACTGTAGCGAGAGTGCAGTGATCGGTGAGAGTTGTGTGCTCGCTATCAGAGGTGGGAATGATGATGTGGTCGACACTTCGATGGCGAGACGAAATTGGTGAAGACGTTGCAGCGGGAAGTAAGAGGCGGGTGGAGCCGTCCATGCAGAGAGTCGCCATTCAAATCGTTGAAATTCGCTTCATCTCTGTCGCTCCATTCCTTTGCTGCTGCTGCTGCTCCTGCTGCTGCTGCTGCTGCAGTGAAACACAATTTTGCTCTGTGCTGAAGTAGAAGTAGTAGTAAGTAGTAGAAGCTGAAGTGGAGGCGCCAGCCTTGAAGGTGGGCAATTACTTGGGGGAGAAGATCGAAATGTGTAACTATTGCCGATGCGAAGGTATGTGTAGTGCCTCAGTCAATGCTGAGGTAAGATATCTCAAAGCCGGGTACGGCTGGCCTTAAGAGCGCTCCTGTGTGCAATGAAGGCCAGTGCATCACACACACTCGCACATCATGGCACACACACACACACACGCACGTCAAGACAATAAAACAAAGCACTTTCTCAAGCCATTGGTGTGCGGGGCTTAGCACAATGACATATAAAGAAAGAAAGACAAATTGAATAGTGCAGAATCACCTGCTCTGCGGATGGTGTCAAAACTTCGATTGGCAGGCACATTTGTCTGTGCACTCATCATCTGCCTCATAATTTGGTACACATTGGCTCCATACGAACTTTTCCGAACTCCTAGTCAGCCTGATCCTCCACATCCCGACAGTGTGCTTTGCAGATGGCCTCCAACAACTCCAAATGACATACGCACTACTAGCAACACCTACAACATTACAATCTGTGTGCACAAGGATTCGCAATCATTGGCAATTAAATCGGACCCAACTTATTCCATGAAGAGTCTCTGTCGCGACGTGACGAGTAACAGGAGCATCACCTTCAAGGAATTCGGGGAATGTGATCCTTCCATTTGCAAGAGTCCTATCTATCCTGACGTCTATCGGACCTATCCACAGGATGTCCCAATCAAGGAAATACTTCGTTCAATCAAATCGGGCGTGCCGGTGTCCGAGGCAAGTACACCGCTTTACCACCACCCTTCTTCACTTTCACATAACTTATTTGCACACTTAATAAATTACTTTCTTACTTACTCATTCACCCACTCACTCACTGATGACATTGATTGTCTTAGTGG